AATAAATTTATGATCACGGTAGGAGTACACCAATAAAGCATAGTTGATTTATTCTAAGTGCTAAGATATTTAGGAATCGAAGAAAAATTATATGATCATAATCGAATAAGACTAATAACGAAGTTCGAGATCACACTATGATAAATTGACATGAGGACTAAATTTGTATGGTAACCATACTTGCTAGAGACCAATCTTGATTTATGTATCAAGGGATAAAAGATGTGTCTTTTATTATTGATACATTGCTAACATATCTAAGAGCCTATTAAGTCACACGTATGAATTTAAGCATTTACATAATAAAAGAAAGTAAAGATGTTGGAAAAAATTTTCAATTTAAAAGTTTCATATTTTGAAAAAAGTTTCCTAAAATGAAAAATTTTCTATTTTAAAAATCATTTTCCTAGTTTGGAAGTCGGTTCTAAATTTAGAAGTAAATAACCTAAAAAGAAATTAGTTTTGTAATTTAGGTTTAAGGGTATTTTAAAAAATTATTTTCTAATGTGGGCTACCTAAAATTATCTAACCTAATTTATTTGAATAATTCAAATTAATTAATAAGACCAAAATAGTTTGGACCAATATGTTTAATTAAAAGTCCGAAAGATATTTTGATGGAAAGATAAATATGAAGCTTATTGGATAAAGATGAATATTTTAGAGAATAAGATAAAAAAGAATACAAGCATAATAACTCCTAATCATTGGAGGATTAGGAAGCAACAACTTAGAGTCCTTTAGGGACTCATTATTGCCCTTTCCTTGTTGCCCATTCCTTGTCTTTGGAGGAGGACAAGGAAGCCTCTCCTTTCTATATATGGGAGAGAGGTGCGGACACAACAAGGGAATTAAGAGAGGAAAAAATGACAAAGAAAGAAAATAGGGTACACGACATTGAGCAAGAAAAAAGGATAAAATAGTTTTCTCCATAAAAACCTTAGCACACACCACTTGTACTTTCTCTCTTAGTACCATAATTAGACTTGTAAAGTAAAACACTAAACAAAATAAAAAAAAATATGGAGCTAGCACTCTATTAATTTTGAGTACTACTTGTGTGGCGCTTGGACTGCATGGATTATCAATAAAGGCTTAAAATTTGATGGCTTTTTTCTTGGTAAAGAATTTAAATCGTACTATAAAAGGTAATTCTTTATTTAATACTTTAATTCATAAATATACGGTTAGTTGATTCAACCACATGATGTTGGACACTTTAGATGAAAGAAAATATTTGTTTTATTCTCGCACCTTTATAGGATACATGATCTTTCAATTGGTATCGAGCCTCCGTTGAATCTTTGATTGAATTTTTTGTTAATTATGATTAATTACATGAATTAGCTATTCTTGATTATAAATTGTATGTTTTTGGTTTTTTATATACATTTAAAATAGAGATTTGGGCTTAAATTGAGTGGGAGTGTGCGAGGCCTACGTTGGACGTTGGCACTTACGCGCATAAAGTTATCCGGTTGGTCACGTGTTAGGGCCATGATAGCTCCGACTGTTTGTGATCCGGGTACGCAACAAGCTAGGCTTTTTGACCGGACAATCACGTACCATACGCGTGACAAACCAGCAATCGCAAGTTGGGCGCATGATAGATCGGACCTGCCGGCTAAACATTCATGTACTAAGCATGTGACGAGCCAAAAGCCCCACCGGGTAATTGCACACCGGGCACACGATAAGCCTTGGCTCGCCTCGTGCACGTAAGTTCTTCCGACCAAACCCGGTCATGCACAAGGTGCGATGAGCGAAGCTTACTAGGCATGCTTGGACATTTGACAAGGCGGACGTACGCTAGGCACATGCTAACGCTAAGGCAAAGTGATGATGCGTCAAGTGCAAGTGAGGCGCGCGCTAGGCGCGGGCATAGCAAAGGCCTGCTACATGCCGGACACGTGCATACACCAAACGAGTAATGCCGGGCATAAGTGCCTCGGGTAGCGAGCCGGACGCTCACATATGTCGGGCCACAAGCAAGGTACTCGCATACGAAGCCATTAGACGAGTGCTCGCCACCTTAGGCCACCGGCCATTGGGCGGGCTAGGTGCGTTTGAGTGTACCATGCCCGAGGCTAACGGAAGGCCAGCCGTGCACAATTACACCGGGTCGAAGGCTTGAGCATCTAAACCTATGGGCCCTAGAGGCCCAAAAGCCATGGGCCTAAGGCCGGAAAAGTTTTAAAATTGAAATTTAATTTTTTTTGATAAATTTATAAAATGATCAAAATATAGATTTATAATTACAATTTGAATGACATGTGTTTTATTAGTATGTTATGTATCAATGTGATTGAAGCATGGGTGAATAGTATGGATGAGTCTACCTAGTGTATGGGAATGAATGTTTGTAATTTTTTAGATAAATAGAATCAGCACGTCCTCGCCTTCTCTATTACTCTATTGTATTTTTCATCTCATCTTACTACCTTCAAATGTAACTCGAGGTTTCTTATTCAAAAAAATATAAAAATAAAAAATACGAATTAGAATAGATGCAAAGAGAAGAAGCCAAAACGTGAAGGCGAATCTCAAAGAATTTGTAATAATTTTTCACTTACGTATTTAACCCACTAGTCTCCTTATGGCTCGAGAGGGCTAGTATTAGAGATCTATTACCATTTACCGATTCTTATGTCATGTATGAGATGCATGTATTTATATTATGTGATTAATGTGAGTATGCATTTTAGGACTAATGTAATTATTAACTAGTATGCATGTTAGGATGAGATCTACCAAATTAAAATCCTTTAAATTAAACATTAAGTTAATTGCCTTCAAACATTATGAGGAGGGAACACTTTTGATCATTGTTGGCATGTTAATATAATTCAAGGTCACTTCTTCCTCGAGGAAAATAAATCATGAGTCATGCGATATCCTCGAACATTGGGTCTAACTTGAAATGAGTTGTTATGTTTGTTGAGATAATTTAAGGTTGAATAAACTTGTATGCAAAGATTATTAGTCATATAAGATGTGATATGACAAGGATTTATCTATCTAATCCTTCATGTATGATATGTTGAGATAATTTAAGGTTAATACATGTTAGAGGATGAGATCCTAACGCACTAAGGAAAATGAATCGAAAAGTTTTCTTAAGTCCTATGTTAAAGTTTATAGAACTTGAAGAAAATAGTGAGAGCGAACATAGATTTTACTTTTTAAATTTATACTTTGTTTTATTTTATATAATTTAATTAATCAAATCGTACGTTTTTCTATCATGTCGGATTGTAAGTATGATCGGAACACATCGAGACAATCGATCATTTATGGAAGTAATACCTTCAATGGCACGAACTTCCTCGACCGAGAAATGAATATGAGGATAGTCCTTCAACATCAAAAATTCTCTATACGATAGAGAAACCTCTCTCGACTAAGCCTTCTCGGGATCAAGTCGAAGCTCATACAACATGGATCAAATATAGGGATGATGCGATTATCTCTCAAAGTATCATGCTTGGTTGCTATGACATTAGAGCATAGGCGCCAACACAAAGGCACGAATGCTTTTGATATGATAACGAAGCTTAAAAGCTTGTTTGATGAAAATACTAGACATGAGCACTATGAGATAGCAAGGAAGATCTTTAGAGCGGAATGGATGAGGATCCAACATAAAAAAGCATGTCACCGAGATGATAAGCTATATCAACGAGCTAATTGAGCTTGAAGTTGGAATGGATGTTGAATTATCCATTGAAATAGTATTGCAATCGTTGCCTAATAACTTTGGACAATTCATCATAAACTTTAACATGATGCACATGCAAAAGACTTTTAGAGAGTTATTGTCCATGCTTAGGGAAGCTCGACTCGAAATTAACAAGAAGAATGAGAGTTATGTACTTCTTGTTAATAAGGAAAAAGGTATTGTAAAAGGCAAGAAAAAGCCCAAGCAGAAGAAGAAGAAGGCTTCAACTGTGCCTACTAGAGGAGTGAAAAAGCCCGAGGCTCATAATAGTCCAAAGGATGCGATATGCTTTTATGACAACAAGAAAAAGCATTGGAAGTGCAACTGCAAGGAGTACCTAAAAGAGTTAATAAGCAATAGGTAGATTGATGTATGTTTGGTCGTCAAAATATTAATTCAAAATTCATTGTATTTACTTTTTTAAAAACAAGATTTTGCATTTCGATCAAATTAACCAATTTTTTAGACCAAAACTATGTTATTTTATAACAAGTCATTCACGATCGAATGTCACATTAAAAAAAATGTCTTTTTTTTATCCTTACTTTTTTTTATTTACTTTTAAAATGATAATGTAAGAAATAAATATTACTACCATGAATGTCACCATCGATATGAATATCTTTTCATGTAAATAAATTCTAGACACTTGAACATAAAATTGTTAATGGTCAATAATATCAAAATTCAAATATAAAACATGTCTCATGCCTCTAGCATATCATTGTGAATAAATTTTGTTATTTAAGCTTAAATGTTTATTTTTTTTAAAAAAAAAATTATGTTATATGTGAATAGGGTTTTCAATTTTTTATTGAGTTGGATCTTTCTTCAACTATTTTTTATTTGAAATTATATTCTTTTATTAGGTTTCATAAATTCTAACATGTAAATACAGTTTTTCAACCATTAAAAATATATCAAAACATATAGATTTTTTCTTCTAAATGTCAAGAAAGTTAGCAACTAAAATATATTTTAGAAAAAAATAAAGAAGCAAAATATTCATAAATTTTAACATATTTTTATCTATTAAGAAATGTAAAAATCAATCAAGTGCAAATTATGCATACTCATATTATCGAACGGATGAAAACCTAGTAGAATGATCTACTTACAAAAATAAAAATAAAAATAAAAATAAAAATATATAGCTATATAAAGATCCAACTCAAAATAATAAAAAATAAAAAAATAATTGATTTTTAAATCACTTAAAGTTAAAAAGAAGATTTCTTCCAGAAAAAATTTAATTCATTTGGTTCATAGTTTTGTGGCAAGTTCATTTTCTGTCTCTTTTCTGGTTGGAGCCGAGGCTTGAGTTCTGGGTCAAATCCCACGTTGAGTAAATGTCCTGAAAATAATCAAGTCTAATACTTTCCAATTTCCTGAAAATAATCTCACTTTCTGATTCATCTCCCTCATTTGCTACAATCTCTGTTATCACTTCGCATTTTCTTACAGTCATTGCAGTGAGTTGCACAAGACTTCTGGCAGTTGAGGATGCTATTAAATATTTCAATCCTTTGCATTGCCAAACATCCAGCGATCTTAGATTTTGGATTGATGTGATAGATGGTGCTAAATTGGTCAAACTGTAGCATCTCCATGCTTCTAACTTTTCAAGATTTTTAATAAGTTGGTCCACTAGCAAACCTTGATTCCAAATACGCTCCAGATTGGGAAGCCAAACAAGTTTTAGGCATTTTATCCGTGCAAGTGTCATTGCATGTTTCTCCTCACCAAAAAGTCCACTTGAGAACAGCTCTTTGAACAGACCATGTCTGACAACAAGGTTTTCCAGATTGTGGACTCTCTGAATTAGGAGATCAAACGGAAAAACTGCGGATTCCTCATGAAAGCATTGCAATTCGAGGACTTTTAGTTTGTGAAGGATGTCCACCGGAAACTGGCCTTGCCTTATGATTGTAGCTTCTTTGCTGCTTAATGATAATTCCAACAAGTTGGGAATGATCTGGAAATCAATCGACCATACAACAAGGCAAGGACGGACCTCAACTCTTTTCAAAGTTAGATTAGATCAGAGGATGCATGACGTCCACTTACCAATTTGCAAAAGCCAAACAACTCATCCTTTGCAAGGAAATTTGCTCTCCCGTAAAGGGTTAATTACATGCGTTGTCCCTATCCTGTGGCCATTTGTTCAGTTGAGTCCCATTATATGTTTTGTTTACAAACACAGATCTCCATGAGATGTCCATTTTAAATCAGTTTAACCTTCATCTAATATGTTCATTTTAAAATTAGGAGGGTTAAAAATATTTATAAAAAATTTCAAAATTAAGACGATTAATAATATAAAAGGGCAAGCAAGTTTTGGTGCCGATCACAAATTCACAATGTCAATAAGTATAGCTACTACATTAACACAACGTTAAGACTTACACTATGCAAGAGCTTGATAGAATGTGGATTTCACGAGAATGAGCTAGTTTTCCTTTGTTGATGAAAATAAATTCATGCCTAAGTTCAAAACTTCAAGTAGTTTAGCTGAACTGTTGGGAGTTGATTTGTGACTAGATATGACAATGGATGAATATCTGATCTATTAATTTAATTTTTATCCTATTCATGAAAAAATTGCCATACTCATTATCCATTAAGAAATCATCATATAAATCATCACCCACCTCATATCAAATCCATATTAGTTTACCTGTTTATTTAATACCCATTAAAATTGATTTATCAAAAATATTCATTTTAGTCCTTATAAGTTTCAAGAAAGTTTTTTTGTCCATAAAATCTAATATATATATTTTTTTGCATTTTTTTCATTTATTTATAAATTTTTTTATCCTTAATTTTTTTTTAAAATATTTTGATCCATAATTTTTAAATTTTCTCGCAATTAGATTTCTACATGTCAATAAAAAATCCAAATAAATTAGTGGATATTAATAAAGAGTGAATATCCATGCCTTGAAATTATATTAATGAGTATTTATTTTTTTAACCTTACTCATTTTAATACCCATTGGGCATTCTTAATAAGTATTTATTGAGTCGGATAAAGCCGATATCCGTTTTATACTCAATCCATTGGCATCCCTACTTATGAATAACTAGAAAGAAGAAAAGTATCCGGGTGTTAATTATTATTGAATTAAAGGGGTAGTTGACAAATTTGCAATTCAAGAAAGGGCTAAGAAGTTCTAGAGTTAAAGTATATATATATATATATATATTTTGGTTGAAAGGTCAAAGATTTCTCAACACAAAACAACCACAATAATAATATTGATAAATTTTTAAAATTACAGTCTTTATCTTGTGTTCAAATTTGGTCTATTGACATACAAATTGACAAAATAATGGTTAATTTACCTCAATTGATAAATTAGATTGTTAGGCAGGAATGGAATTGCACTTATTAGAAATATAGGGGCTGAATTGCGCTTTTTTGTGATAACTAAACCGACATGACATATAGTCGTTGGAGTTTGTTGGGCTTTTTATAAGAGACTTTCTGAGCTTCTGGCCCAATTAATTCAATATTACGCTGTAGCAGGAAAATCAGTCACCAACATACTGGCTAACCAACTGACTTGCCATGTCATCAAACAACAACTGACAGTCTAACAGACTAACCAACTGTTTTTGGCTTTATGAAAAAAAAAAAAAAAAATTGCTCCTTGAAGGTTAAATATGTAATAACTACTAAAGCATACATGTTTAGGCACCAGGTGCTTCAAATCCTAACCATTGATGAACTATAACAATCCATCTGAACCATCGATGAACTCTGGGGAGCGTGCCTTCTGTGATTTCCCTTTCTCCGAATCTGTTGTAAGCATAACAGCACCAACAGTTATTTCTTACAGCATGACACAGTTGAAGGCCCTCTGCCTTGGGGCATTCAGAATGGTAGAAATTTCCAGCTCCGGTTTTTAACAAACTCAGAAGAAGTGCATGCAGAGGAGGGGTATTTCCTGCCTACTTAAGCTGCTCAACAACAATAGGTACAATTAGATTAAAAATGATCAAGGAAAAAAAATCAGATAAACTCAATTCGGCAAATCTTCACTTAAATTAGATTCTTTTTAGTCCATTGCTGAGGTTCTGAAATGATTCTTACCTTAGTTTTGGATGCATGAGCACCAGCAGACATCGCATCATCTCTCCAAGATACAATAGGGAAAACAGCTCTGTAATGATCGCTACTGCTTCACCGAATTAGCATCCTTCCATTACAGCATAGCGTGCAATTTGCTTGCTTTTAAGGCCAATTTCTTTTACTGTAGACAAGACAAGATTCATAATCGGAAAGTGTTCATTTGATCTCTTGCCTTGAAAATGCAATGAGCTTCTCTGCTCCTCGTTTGATGGTATGCTTATGCCCTGCATACCTCCTTTGACCAGTTAAAAGAAGACGTAGATTATGCCGATTCTAAGAGATGTAAGAGTCGAAGGAAGAAGCATCTCTTCAGGAAAGGATTCCACCTCCAGCTGGCACCGGAAGGAGAAATCCCAGTTGTAAGAGTAGATTTCCGACTTAACATACTCCAGCTGTCTTTTCAGATCGTTAGAAGTTCTGCAGCCAATCCAGTATTTCTGCTGTGTTTTGTTTGCTGCAAATGGGAAATCAGAGTAAATATCCCAATCTACATAAAACTAAAAGGATACAAGGAAGAAGAAACATTAATGGAAGGTTCTGCTAAGATCTTGAAGTTTTCCACATGCGCTCACTGATTCAAATTTCTTATCAGCTACAAATAATCCACACAAATACAGACATCTATAATACTATTTGGCAAAAGCTCATACTTCACGTAGAGAACCGCACACAAGGTTAGTTATCCAAACTGTTCATAAAGCAGTAGCAAAATTTTGACAAGGCATAAAAGGTGCCAGACTTTGACAAAAAAAAAAAAAAAAAAAAAGCTACCTCGGTTTGGGATGCAATATTTGCACCAGCAGGCATAGCATAATCATTCCAATATCCATTGCTATAGCTTCACCAAAAACACCTTTCTCTCATGTTTCTCAGTGCAGCATAGCCTGCCATTTACTAAGATTATGTCAAAGCCATTTTCCTTTGGCCCCAGCAAGTCAAGATTCATAATAGGAATTTGTAGAAAATAAAAGGCAATAGCCTGAAAATTCGAAGATTACAAAGCTTTTATTTCTTCAATTCTAACTTTTCAAGTTCCACTTGTTTGTTCAAATGATTGGTTATAAAGAAAAAATTCAAAAGATTTAACTAAAATTTATCACTTCAATGAAGTGAAATGTCAATTTGTAACACTGGTAGTTAGGAAACAAAATCTTCACTCACATCATTGAAGTGATAAGCAAACTTGATTGAGAAGAAAATGAATTTAATTTCATATAATTCTAAGCTGCCTCCAGGACTGACAGAAAAGTCTCTTGACAAAAATTCATCCTGTTCCAGCTTCATGGCCTATTGAAAAACCATTTGAAGAATTTTCTGCCTGAGATATCATAGAAATATAACTTTGGTGCATTTTCTTACCTCATCGACTCAGAATTCATCTTTCTTTGGTGAAGTTGTCGGTATTGACAAGTCTCTGTCACTTCAATTGGTTCTCTGTTTGTGGATTACGATTTTGAAATTCAACGGAACCAACTCAGTACTCTTTGCGAGTCTTTTTGAACATCATCAATTAGTTGGAAGAAGGAACAGCACAAAGCATATGAAATCTCTTACGCTTCAAAACCTTGATAACCACGGTTGATCATAAGAAAATATCCTGCCAGGCTGTTAAAATGGAAAGCAAGCATGTTTCAGTTTTCATAGCAGAATAGCAAAAGCTCCAAACAGAAAAGAAAATAAAAAGACCTAGACCTCTGAAATTGAGTGCCTTTGTTGTTATTATTTCTATACCAGTATAATATTGCTGCATGCCAGTAGTTTTAATGCTACTGAGAATTTCATGATTCCTTCGTAGTAAAGAAGCATGATCTACTAAACAGGGTTTTATTTTTTATTTTTTTATGACACAATAAAGTAAAACATTGTTGATGCAACCAGTGTAAATTTCCAATGTGACTTTGACATACCTACAAACATGTGTCCCTAGCAAAAGGTTGATGATGAACATCTGCAGATCATTAAAGTTCCATTTGTCCTGTGCAGAAATAAAAAGCAGATTGACTACATTTGAGAAGCCTTTGTGTTATGATGAAATGGCTGAGCTATATAATTTATGCCTGCTACTAAATATTAATCGAGGGCTTCCTCCGTTTGTACCTTTAATTCAGAAAATTTTCATCATTCTTTCATAATGATACTCCATGCTTCTCCTGTTCTAAAAGCTTTTGTCACCTTGATTCTCTCAAACATACTTGGAATGAACTTTTGCCCTAAAGTTCAATACATTCTTACTGTTGATATTCATGCTTGCTATTTACATCATTAGTGAAAAATTGGATATTCATGAAACACACCTCATCTTATCCTGCTCTCCCATAAAATCCTCTCTAGCCTACTTCCACCTTTTTGGCATCCCTCCTTTGACCGGTAAAAAAAAGGTAGATTAGCAAACATTCGTATTTTGGTAATCTTATATAATGAAGTAAATTGGTGAATTCTGCTCCAATTTTTTTTTTTTTTTTAATCCATCTTTAATTAATATTGCTCCTGGATCTTGATAGATCATGCTTTTCTTGCTACCAATTGACTGAGGCAGAATATCACATTATGAATAATACTTTTATCGCTTATGTATAAATTACAGAGAAATTCTTAACTTACCTTGGTAGCTGAAACTGGGGGAAACCCTGCGAGCATAATAAACAAATTTGTCGCCGGTTTCATCCACAAGCACTGTTATGACTGTTACAGAAGCAGCAATTAATAAAATCAGTTAGAGAAGAAAAAAAAAAAAAAAAATTTAATAAGCATACAGAGAGATAGACTCGCCTGTTTCTTTATTCGTTGATCTTGTCGTAATCAATCTCTATGTGGGGAATGTGACAAATCCTTGGCCAATAATCCCCTTTCTCCTTCTCACACCTTTCTGCCGGCAAAGGACAAAATTTGATTTTGAGAGAAGAAAGGGAAGAGGGTAGTCCTTGATCAGGAAAGGACTGGAGCAAAGGGCAATCCGAGAGTGCTAATTCTCTAAGAGACGTGAGGTGCTGCATCCACTTGTAGTCTAGAGATTTCAGATTTTGAAAATAGCTGATTTCGAGAGAAGAAAGGGTAGAGGGTAGCCCCTTGCAGTCTAGATATTCCAAATTTTTAAGAGAGGAGATTTTCAAGGAAGAGAGAGAGGATGGTAGCCCCTCTCCCGACAAGTAGCGGATATTATGGCAATCACTGATCTCCATTTTTGTAAGAGAGGTCAGGTGTTGAAGCCCCTTGCAGCCTAGAGATTTCAAATTTGTAAGATAGGAAATTTTTAAAGAAAAGAGAGATAGGAGGGTAGCCCCCTCCGGACAAGTAGCGGATATCATGGCATTCACTGATCTCCAATTTTGTAAGACAGGTCAGGTGTTGAAGCCCCTTGCAGTCCAGAGATTTCAGATTTACAAACCCGCGAATTAGAAGAGATGTAAGAGTAGAGGGCAGAAGCATCTCTTCAGGAAAAGATTCCACATCCTGACAATGGCAATCTTCAATTCTGAATTTTGAAAGAGGGGGTGTCGTTGCAAACCCCATTGCATGCGGTTAGCAGTGAGTTTGTCGCAATGCCAAATCTTAAGTGATTGTAATTTGGAGGGCAAACCACATACCGGAAAAGACTCAAGTTTTGAGCAAAAAGATATTTCCAGATTCTCAAGGGAAGGGAGGAGGGATTGCATGCTTTCAGGCAACGACTCAAGTTCTGGGCAACGATCTCTATCCGAAGATCAGTCAAATTTGGGCATGTGAAGATGGACAAGGAATTGAGAGAAACGAAATCGTTGAGATCACTCTCTAGACTGAAGACAGAGGCATTGAGCTTGGGACAAGAATAGAAAGAGAGAGTTTTTAAATTGTAGTACAAATTCAATGGGAAGTACTCGAGTGAATCATTGCAAGACATTCGAAGAAATTCAAGATGATGGGGGAAACGACCTGTTTGTTCCACTTGTTGGAAAACTGGACCTCTAACATGGAGATCGTAAAGCCCTGAATACAATTTGCTTAATTCAAGCCCACTCTCTACTGTAGGCCGACTCCAATTCATCCGCATTGTAGTGACGACCGGACATCTCAGAAGCGAGCATGGAAACTGCCATTCATGGATCTCAAGTGTGATTACAGAAGGAAAGTAACCTGGCATTGTCCTTAAGTTGGGACAGTTGAATATATAAAGATCTTGAAGAACAGAGAAAGCTCCATCTTCATCTTCCCATTGCTGCAATTGAATCATACCATGAATCTTCAAAAATGTGAGGGATGCAAATGGCTTTGTCCCAGGTGAGCAGCTTCCATAGAACTCAGGACCAATCACCGTAAACTCATCAATTTCTATGATGAAGAGTTCTTCTAAGGAGGATAAATGCCCAAGTGGTGGTAAGGAAGACAAGTTTTTGCATCCTTCAAGATGCAAAGTTACTATATTTGAGAAAGAAGAGTCTCCTACCCATTTGGGAAACTGTCACTCCCATATCCAACAATCGTAATACCTTTCACATTTGTATCAGGCTCCAGTTGTTCCAAAATACCATGATGCAGTGAACCATCAGTTTCTCCATCCCATGTCAATTTTAACTTCTCAAGCTGCATCTTGCCCTTCAAATTGGCTGCTGAAGCATATCCAACGTTCTCAAGATTTTCAAGATTCCGAATACAAAGCTCACACAGATGCCGAAGATTCTCCAAATCTTTGACGCTGGAACCATGTTGTTTTGCCAAAAAGATATCATCACTTAACCGTCTAAGCTTCACCAGTTTACCCATTCCAGCTTCACCAGTACAGAGACAAAAAGCAAAGCAGGTATGAACAAATTGAACAAATAATGTAAGGTTTAATGTCTTAGGAATTTGATTTCCAAGGTTAAGCTAACAAGAAAAAAATGTTCCCCCTTGAAGATATAATGAAGCACAAGATAAAACGAGCAACGCGATTAATAGAAGACAAAACCGCTTGAAAGAAAAAAGAAGAAGCAATGTATGTATCAACAGGTACATCATGGTTCATTTGGAGGATACGAATCTTGCAGACCAACAGGACAACTGAGCCGTTCTGATGCTCTACCCCATCAGGAATAAATACATTGATAATTACAAATTCCATAGGCAGTGACAACATGGACACAAAAATGCTTAGAGTTGCCTAGAAAACTCTGACTCGAATTCTATATTCTATTGGCAGAATTTATAGATTTTGTTCTGAAATCAACGCTAAAGTGCTACAAAATGATATTCACCAGAGCAAGCTACGCTGGCGGTGGTAGCGGCTAGATATGCCCCTACTCCGGCTACAGTGCAGAGACATGATTTTCAAATCTTAGCACTTTAGTTTAACTTTTGTATTTTTTCCACAAGTTACTAAAAAAAAAAAGTCCTCCAACTTTATAAGTTCTTAAATTAAGTCTCAATTCTTTGAATAGACTCAAATTTGAATATGTAATGTTGATATAGTTTTCTCAACCGTGCACGAGGTTTGCCATACAAGATTTTTTTTTTTTAATGAAAAATAGTACATATATTTCTTGTCCTATTGATAATTTTCGACTTTTCATTGATAATTAATATTTTCATTGTGAAAATGCACAATTACTGGAATATTTTCATACATATGAGGAAGTTTAAGAAGTGTGGCTCCTTTGATTTCCCTCTCTTTTCAAACATGATGTACACAAATGATCTCATCTAGATATATTTCTTAGCCCATCGGACTTTGTATTCTGATCACCAACAGTTCTTTCTTCCAACATTACTAAGTTGATGGAATCTCTGTCAGCAGCTTGACTGCAAAGAAGGCTACTGGGATCGCCATTGGTCCATCAACTGGTTAATGTTTCGCAATTCAGCAGCTGGACTCCTATCTCTCTCATTACAATATAGCCCGCAATTTGCTAAGATTATTTTTCAAGAACCGGAAATTTGTTAGAGAATTAATGCGGTAATTATATTAGAGTCAAGTTATTTTCTTTGTGTTAGTGTCATTCCGGATTTGTCCATGTAATTAGAGTCCAACTAGGTCTTTGAATTAGTCAAGTACTTTTTTTCATTGTGTCCTACACTTCTGTGGCTGGGTAGAGTACTTGCATGTTCTTAGTGGAGTCTTAACTCTACAATTTGAAATTTATTGGGCCTTTTCTGATATCCATATTCATAGTGGACAAAACTGTTCTAAAACTCTTACCCAACTTAAAAGATCATTGTTGCTAAGATTGTTTTTCAAGAACCAGAAATTATATTAGAGTCTAAGTTATTATTATTATTATTATTTTACGTTAGTGTCATTTCTAATTTGTCTATGTAATTAAAATCCAACTAAGTTTTTGAATTAGTCGAGTTTTTTTCAATGTGCCCTACACTTCCGGTGTTGTTTGTATCTTGTTCATGCCACTGTCTTGTTGGTTTTTAATATAAT